CATTTTTATCATCATTTCTTCTGACTTTGACCCTCTTTCTCTTATAAAGACCCTTGTAGTCACATTGGGTCCATCTAGAAAATTCAGAACATTTGCCTCATCTGAAGATTCTTAACTTAATCACACCTGCAACGTTCCTTTTGTTCTATAAAGTAACATACTCACAAATTCCAGAGATTAGAAAATAAGTATTAGAAAATAAGTATCTTTTGGGGATCCATTATTCAACATACTGCAATTGTCATGTATTCTCAGGACATAGAAAGAAATTCTGGCATGGAGTATATACTCTTTACATGTCTGTTGAGTGAATGGGCAAGATATTGAAGTAAATTAAATACTTGTTTATCCTATAAGATACCCTAAAAAATGTATATGCAAGAAAAACTTTCAAATGTATTGATCATATACAATGTGTACAAGCAAGGTCATTTAAAAATATTATCAAGTTCATTTTTAAGTATTATGAATCGATAGAAAAATAAGAAATGCAGTATTTATGTTTTAATACATTTATTTAATCATGTTTGTCAATATATGTATGTGTGTATTGTGGGGCATGGGAGAGATCTGGTGGTTGATTATGCAAATGTTATAATAAAATTTTGAATTTTATGCAACAATAATATACAATTTAAAATTTGAATTACTAGCTAATGTGCACTGTATTATTCTAAGTACTTTACTTGTATTAATTTATTTAATCTTTGTAACAATCCATGTTGCAGATACTATTAAATTCATTATTTGCTGATGAATGTACTGAAAGAAACAGTTGGTTAAATTATTTGCCCAATATCTTATGGCTACTAAGCAATGGAGCCATAAGTGAAACCCAGGCAGCAGTTTCAGAATTAGCTACTTAATCATTTTTAAAAGAAAAAAAAATTTTTACAAGTAGAGGAAATAGTATGAGATGATTCAGAGAGGCAGGGAAACTTGATGTCTGACTTAATGTCTCTATGAGAAACAGCAAATATTCTTGCTTGATTGGAGCAACTGGAATATGTTTCTGTGTAGGAGAAATTGGGCCAAGAAGGTAGATTGAGAACATGTTATGGGAGAATGTGTTTTGGTGACACATACATCCTAATTTTTTTTATTAAAGATTTTATTTATTTGCGAGAGGGAAAGACTACAGAGGAAGAGGGAAAAGCAGACTCCCTGTTGAGTAGTGAACCCAACCTGGGGTTCTATCCCAAGACCCTAAGATCATGACCTGGGCTGAAGGCAGATGCTTAACCAATTGAGCCACCCTGGTGCCCATTTGTCCTAATTTTGATAAACAATGAGGAGCCTAATTGGGAGAATGATCTGATTAAATTGGCTTTTCAAAGTTTGATCTCATAATGGCATGTAGGATAGTCTAGCATACTCCAAGAGTGCAGAAGGGAAAGTAAAAAGTGCACAGTTCCACGTAAAAATTTTACCTCATTCTGCAAAGGTGTGAAAAAGTAAGAATCAACTGAAATGTTTCTACTTCCTTTTCACCCTCATTTTTTTTGTTCAGTAGGAAGGTGCCAAGGCAGGGCAGAGAAGACTGATGGAGATGGTTTTGATGATGTACTTGTCTAAGTTTTAGTTATCCTGAAGCCCATCTCCACTTTTATCTTTCCTTTAGCTGGACCAATTGCTTCAATGTAGTCTCTATTTTTGGTTGATTAGCTCAAATTTCTATTCCTTATAATGAGTGCTACATTTTTAGATTTTTATATTAGAAATTTGGGTGATTAAGTTCTATTCCTCAAAATTTCTCTAAGGGTAAAGGAAGCTCAGAAAGAAGGAAAACTAGTAGAAATTAAAGGCTTAAGAAAACATAACAAAATGTGAACATAAAGGTGTTTACCTATGTCCGAAGAATATGGAAAAATGGCAATCCTCATTGGGTGCTCCTTATATACTCTTACATTTCAAGTGAAAGATTATTTTTGTATTCTTGTGTTTTATTTAGATATTTACTCCTTCATCAAAATGCTTATCATTTCAATGATTGTAGTAACTGCCATACATCATTAAATTACTCCATAAATCTTATTATACCTAAGACAATAGTTTTGAGGAAACTGTTTTCATAATTCTCGGAAACTCACTTGTGACTCCCAGGTTCTATCTTGCACTAACATGCATATGAACAAATACTCATCAACTCAACTAACTTTGAAATTATGGTGTTTCACAATGTTAACCCCATTTTTATTTAAAAATAGTTGTCAACAGATCTGAGTGTCCATGAACACTCTAAAACATGACAATTAATATAACAACTTGCTTTCCAAATTAACAAAGGTTTATTTTAGTGAGACTATCCTACATATTCAGAAGGTTAAACACATTGGAAATGTAATTCTATTGTTAGGAAATTAACTCAAATTTCTAGAAAGCAATTTGGCAATATTCTGTAAGACTCTAAAAAAGGCTTTTGACTCAACAATTTATCTTGGAGAATCTACATAAGAACATAATTCAAAATAGTAAAGCAAGACATAAGAAGATTAATGTTTGAAACATTCACAGTAAATTTTTTTTATTAAAAATTGAAATAACCCATATAATGAACTTTGTTTGCAATGTTATGACCATAAAACACATATTACTTAATCAAATGATATTTAGAAAAAAAATTTTAGAGCATGAAAAATGTATGTGTAACATTTCAAGCATAAAGAGTAAAAATCAAAATGATACGCACATTAGAATATTTTTATGTCAAAATATACATCAATAACGGAATTGAGAGAAACAGACTGAAATGTACTTTCAGATTTTTCTCCTTAAAAATAAATAGTTCTCATGTATATTAGAGTCAACAAATAGTTCAATCAATTGACCTTATATCTGCTAGAATGTTGCAATGGTTCAAAGAGTAATATTGGATAAAACTGAAGAATCACAAGGGAAACAACAAATTTGAGGGAAAAAATCTATCAGTTAATACAGTTATTTTCCCAGTTGATGATACAGAAATGAAATGAACATTCCAACTTCAGCATGGTTGAATGAACTGAAGATCAAGAACCTCAAGGATGTAAAGAGCACTGGAAATGTCACTCATTTTATCTTTTGCTATCTATAAACTGCTCCCAGAAAAATGAGAATGTATCCTATATTTTATTATAATTCTCTCGTGAAAGCATTGCTATAACTTCCCATTTTAACTAAGCCAAGACCATTATTTCAAAGGTCTGTAAGAGGGGAAAAAAACTTCTTTCTTAAAAACCCAAGGCAAAAATATAAATCATTTTCTTATTGGCAATTTAAATTTTCTAATCATCACCTTCAATTTTTTATATTGTTGTTGATCACTATTTAGTCATTTTCTAGTTTTCTAATTTAGTTAAGACAATTTTACATCCTTCAACTTTTCCCAGTATCTGTGATTTTTCATTCCACTAATTATTATTGAGCTCTTTTCTGAATATTCTTCAGTTTCTCTGCATGCCAGTTATTTTGTGTAACAAAGAACTAGTCAGATCCTAATTCTTACTTCATAAGTTCTAGTAATCACTTTATTTTTTTTAATATACTGCTCAAAAAAATTGTTGTGATTTAATTATAACCATGGCCAATATTATGTCATTGAAAAGTTTACTGTTAAGGAAAGAATACTAGCACTCACTAAACACCATGATATCTCTATAGTTAAATTGTTGTTTATTATTTCAGAGTAAGGCATACTTTTAGGTTTTATTACAATATTAGGTCTTCATCTTTTAGTCTGATTGCTAAAATAGCAAATCAGTCTCCTAAAGCAACACTTACTTATACTGCACATTCTTTCTATAATCAAATTTGCAAAAGTAATATTCTTTAAAATGAAAATATCATTTTATCATACTGTCCTCAAAAGTGTATAATGATGACTGATTGCTTATTGGATTAGTGTGTGTGTGTGTGTGTGTGTGTGTGTGTGCGCGCACTAAGAACACTTAACAGGAGATCTAGCTATTAACAAATACTTATATGCCCAGCACAGATTTTCTTCTAAAACTTTATAGTTTCATGTCTAGTATAAAATAGAGGTTCAATTTCATTCTTTTGCATATGGATAACCAGTTCTCTCAACCTCATTTGTTGAAGAGACTACTTTTTCACCAGAGTATATTATTTTTCTTTTTAAAGAATTATTTATTTATTTGAGAGAGAGCGAGCATGCGTGCATATGCATGTGAGCCAGGGAGGGGTAGAGTGAGAGGAAGGGAATCTTGAGCAGTTCCTGTGCTAAGCACAAAGAAACCCATGTGGGGCTCAATTTCATGACCCCATGACCATGACCTTAGCCAAAACTAAGAGTTGAACACTTAACTGACTGAGCCACCTAGGAGTCCCTCCTCAGAGTGTATTCTTGACTTCCTTGTCAAAGAAGAGTTGACCACATATATGTGGGTCTATTTCTGGACTTTCTATTCTGTTTTATTGCTCTATACCTCTGTTTTTATTCCATTAACATATTGTTTTAATTACTCTAAATTTGTAATGTATTTGTTTAAGGAGTATGATGTCTCCTTCTTTGTTCTTCTTAAGATTTCCTTGGCTATTCGGTAGATTGGTTTTTGCTCTTTCTATAAAAAAAATTAGGATTTTGATAGAGATGGTCTTGAATCAGAATATTACTCTGAGTAGAATGGACTTTCACTACTATAAATTCTTCCAATGCATGAACATAGGATTTCATTCCATTTACTTATGTCTATTTAAATCTCTTTCAGCTGCATTTTGAAGTTTTCATATACAAGTCTTTCACTTCCTTGGTTAAATTTATTCTGAACCACTTTATTCTTTTTGATGCTATTATAAATGCTTAAATTTTGTATTAAAATTCTTTATAGGATAATTTGTTGTTACAACTAATTTTTATATATTGATTTTGTATCATGCAATTTTATTAAATGCAAACCCTGCAACCAAAAAACCCAAGACCAGATGCCTTCACTAGAAAATTCTACCAATAATTTAAAGAATAAACATTTATCCTTCTCAACAGTTGAAAAAAGTTGAAGAGAGTGCTTACTTCAGCAGCACACACACTAAAAACTGAAATAATACAGAGAAGATTAGCATGACCCCTGCATAAGAATGACACACAAATTCATGAAGCATTTTATATTTTTGAGTAATAGCTGGGTCGCCACTCTTAAAGATAGCAGGGTGACTAGAGAAGTAACCAAAAAAATGGCAGTTTGCACAACAGGAGACATATCTGTTCATACTGATTTTGTAGGGTGTTGGACTTCTCCAAAAGCAAGGGGCTTGGTAGGCACCATTTTCCTTCCCTACTGTCCAGCATATACACTGAGCCACCTTCAAGAGGCAAGGATGCACAGGCATTTGCTGCCTGACCCATTGGCAGTGCACCATACTGAGTTCTCCTGAAGACAGGCCCACTCCAAATCTGCTGGCATTGCCCTGGGCTCAGGGAAAATTTTATTAAAGCCATATGTGTGTCCTGGTCAGTCACTGAATGCACAGCCACCAAAGCGAGATTCCAGGCTATGCCAGAGACTTGCTCCTAGTAGCTGATAGGTGGTCTGTCAATCCACCAAGTACACAGCTGCCACTGTGCACCCATTCCTGCCACCATACTGGGCTCAGCTATCATGTTGTAACCAGCTGTGGGCACCAGCCACACTCTAGTTCCAGCCCCACCTAGTCATGGTCACTACTTTCAAGAGCAGAGGACCCAGATGATTTTCTTAACACAGAGAAACAGATACAGAGAGGCAAACAAAATAAGGAGACAGAGAAATTCATCCCAAATGAAAGAACAAGAAAAGGCCATAGCCAGAGATTTAAGTGAAAGAGATAAAAGTAACATGCCTGATAGAGAATTTAAAGCAATGATCATAAGGATACTCACCAGACTTGAAAAAAGTGGAAAATATGAGTAAGACCCTTAACAAAGGTATAAGGAATAGCATAGCTGAAATAAAGGGCTCAGTAAATGAAATGATGGAATAAATAGCTGCATGGGAGGAGCAGAGGAACAAATTAGTGACCTAGAAGACAGAGTAATGGAAAATAATCAGGCTGAACAAAAGAGATCAAAAGAATTACACATGACAAGAATAGACTTAGGGAATGCAGTGACTCCATCAATCTTAACAACTTTTATATTATAGAAGTCCTAGAAGAATAAGAGAAAGGAAAGGGGGCAGAGAGTTTGTTTGAAGAAATAATAACAAAACTTCCCTAATCCAGGGAAGGAAAAAGATATCCAGATCCAGGAGGCACAGAGAACTCCTATCAAAATCAACAAAAGCAGACCCACGCCAAGACATATTGTAACTAAATTTGCAAGATACAGAAAAGTAGCAAGACAAGAAAAGTCATTAACTTACAAGGAAAAACCCATAAGGCTAGTAGGAGAGTTTTCAACAGAAATTTTGCAAGCCAGAAGAGAGTGGCATGATATATTTAAAGTGCTAAATGGGAAAAATCTGCAGCCGAGAAAACTGTATCCAGGAAGGCTATCATTTGGAATAGAAGGAGAGATAGTTTCCCAAACAAAACTGCAGGAGTTCATGACCAGTAAACCGGCCCTGCAAGAAATATTAAAAGGGTCTCTTTGTATAGAAAAGGGAGACCAGGGATCCCTGGGTGGCGCAGCGGTTTGGCGCCTGCCTTTGGCCCAGGGAGCGATCCTGGAGACCCGGGATCGAGTCCCACGTCAGGCTCCCATTGCATGGAGCCTGCTTCTCCCTCTGCCTGTGTCTCTGCCTCTCTCTCTCTCTCTGTGACTATCATAAAAAAAAAAAAATTAAAAAAAAATAAAAGAAAAGGGAGACCAAAAGTGACAGTATAAAGGTAGGAACTACAAAAGCAGTGAAAATAAATATTTCTATAAAAAAATAAGTCAAGGAACTAAACAAAAAAGGAAATTAAATATAGTCACATATACCTAAAACATGGAGAAGAGGAAGGAATAGGTTCAAACATAATCAACCATCAACTTAATATAGACTACTATATGCAGAAAAGATTATATCTAAATTCAAGAAGATAAAAGTCATACCATGCATCATCTCTGACCACAATGCTATGAAACTAGAAGTCAACCACAAGAAAAAATCTGGAAAGACCACAAATACATAGAGATTCAAAAACATGCTACTAAGGGGTGCCTGGGTGGCTCAGTCAGTTAAGTGTCCAACTCATGATTTCAGCTCCAGTCATGATCTCAGGGTCATGAAAGCCCTACATTGGTCTCTGTACTCAATGGGGAGTCTGCTTGAGAAATTCTCTCCCTCCCCCTGCTCACATGCTCTCTCTCTAAAATTAATTAACAAATTAATCTTGAAAAAAAAAACCAAACGTGCTACTAAGCAATGAATGGGTTAACCAGGATGTATGAAATAAAACAGTGCATGGAACAAGATGTAAATGAAAATACAGTGGCCCAAGACCTCTGGGATGCAGCAAAAGCAGTTTTAAAAGAAAACATTACAGCAATACAGGCATATCTCAAGAAGCCAGTAAGTCTCAAGTAAACAATCTAACTTTGCACCTGGAGAAGCTAGAAAAAGAATAAAAAACAAAACCTAAAACCAGCTGAAGAAAATAAATAATAATGATTAGAGCAGAAATAAATGATATAGGAACTAAAAATAGATCAATGAAACCAGGAGTTGGTTCTTTGAAACAATCGATAAAATTGACAAACCTGTAGCCAAACTTAACAAGAAAAAAAGGGAGGACCTAAATAAATAAAATCGCAAATCAGAGAGGAAAACAACCAACACCACAGAAATATAAACAATCATGAGATTATTATGAAAAACTATATGCAAAGAAATTAGACAATCTAGAGGAAATATAAACATAAAGTCATAAACATAAAGACTACCAATAATGAAGCAGGAAGAAATAGAAATTTTTAACAAACTAATAACAAAGAAGCAAAGAAATTGAGTTGGCCAAGTTCAAAAAGGGTGTTGCCTGTGTTCTCCTCTAGGATTTTGATGGAATCTTGTCTCACATTTAGATCTTTCATCCATTTTGAGTTTATCTTTGTGTATGGTGCAAGAGAGTGGTATAGTTTCATTCTTCTGCATGTGGATGTCCAATTTTCCCAGCACCATTTATTGAAGAGACTGTCTTTCTTCCAGTGGATAGTCTTTCCTCCTTTATCGAATATTAGTTGACCATAAAGTTGAGGATCCACTTCTGGGTTCTCTGTTCTGTTCCATTGATCTATGTGTCTGTTTTTGTGCCAGTTCCTTCTTCCAAGATACATCCACGAAGGCAGAAGAAACAAAAGCAAAAATGAACTATTGGGACTTCATCAAGATAAGAAGCTTTGGCACAGCAAAGGATACAGTCCACAAAACTAAAAGACAACCTACAGAATGGGAGAAGATATTTGCAAATGACATATCAGATAAAGGGCTAGTTTCCAAGATCTATAAAGAACTCATTAAACTCAACAGCAAAGAAACAAACAATCCAATCATGAAATGGGCAAAAGACATGAACAGAAATCTCACAGAGGAAGACATAGACATGGCCAACATGCACATGAGAAAATGCTCCGCATCACTTGCCATCAGGGAAATACAAATCAAAACCACAATGAGATACCACCTCACACCAGTGAGAATGGGGAAAATTAACAAGGCAGGAAACCACAAATGTTGGAGAGGATGCGGAGAAAAGGGAACACTCTTACACTGTTGGTGGGAATGTGAACTGGTGCAGCCACTCTGGAAAACTGTGTGGAGGTTCCTCAAAGAGTTAAAAATAGACCTGCCCTAGATCCAGCAATTGTACTGCTGGGGATTTACCCCAAAGATACAGATGCAATGAAACGCCAGGACACCTGCACCCCGATGTTTATAGCGGCAACGTCCACAATAGCCAAACTGTGGAAGGAGCCTCAGTGCCCATAGAAAGATGAATGGATAAAGAAGATGTGGTTTATGTATACAATGGAATATTACGCAGCCATTAGAAATGACAAATACCCACCATTTGCTTCAAAGTGGATGGAACTGGAGGGTATTATGCTGAGTGAAATAAGTCAATCGGAAAAGGACAAACATTATATGTTCTCATTCATTTGAGGAATATAAATAATAGTGAAAGGGAATAGAAGGGAAGGGAGAAGAAATGGGACAGGGATGTCCACTCTCAACACTGCTATTCAACATAGTACTGGAAGTCCTAGCCTCAGCAATCAGACAGCAAAAAGACATTAAAGGCATTCAAATTGGCAAAGAAGAAGTCAAACTCTCCCTCTTCGCCGATGACATGATACTCTACATAGAAAACCCAAAAGCCTCCACCCCAAGATTGCTAGAACTCATACAGCAATTTAGTAGCGTGGCAGGATACAAAATCAATGCCCAGAAATCAATGGCATGTCTATACAATAACAATGAGACCGAAGAAAGAGAAATTAATGAGTCAATCCCATTTACAATTGCACCCAAAAGCATAAGATACCTAGGAATAAACCTAACCAAGGAGGTAAAGGATCTATACCCTAAAAACTACAGAACACTTCTGAAAGAAATTGAGGAAGACACAAAGATGGAAAAATATTCCATGCTCATGGATTGGCAGAATTAATATTGTGAAAATGTCAATGTTACCCAGGGCAATTTACACGTTTAATGCAATCCCTATCAAAATACCGTGGACTTTCTTCAGAGAGTTAGAACAAATTATTTTAAGATTTGTGTGGAATCAGAAAAGACCCCGAATAGCCAGGGGAATTTTAAAAAAGAAAACCATAGCTGGGGGCATCACAATGCCAGATTTCAGGTTGTACTATGAAGCTGTGGTCATCAAGACAGTGTGGTACTGGCACAAAAACAGACACATAGATCATTGGAACAGAATAGAGAACCCAGAAGTGGACCCTGAACTTTATGGTCAACTAATATTCGATAAAGGAGGAAAGACGATCCACTGGAAGAAAGACAGTCTCTTCAATAAATGGTGCTGGGAAAATTGGACATCCACATGCAGAAGAATGAAACTAGACCACTCTCTTGCACCATACACAAAGATAAACTCAAAATGGATGAAAGATCTAAATGTGAGACAAGATTCCATTAAAATCCTAGAGGAGAACACAGGACAAACAGTGTATGTTCTCATTCATTTGGGG